ACAAGGATTTATGGGATTAGGAGATTAGAGGACATCAGAGGCACTGCCCTGATTTATGCTTTGGAAATGCATTCAAATATGTCCAAGTTGAGAAAGATACAGTTTGGGAGAGGAAGAGTGTGTATGAATTAGTCACGTCCACGTTCTTCCACAAGTTTAAATTGAGAAATAATCTTGATTTGTTGTTGAATTTGAACACACTTACACATTAATCATCATTACTGTAAATGTGTTAGTGTTATCTATAGTTCCAAGTTTCCAACTGTAGCCCCTTGCCAGCAAAAAACACAACAAACCATACAAAATATACATTTACACACATTCAGGACCTTCCTTCTTCACAACAACAAGGTCCTGGGTTCGATTCCACCGCCAGGCCTTTCTCTGAGGAGTTTGAATGTTTTCCCCGTGTCTATGTAGATTTCCTCCAGGTGCTTGGGTTTCCCCTACCTACATGTGCAACAGGTCCATGGGCCTCCTGTATGGCAACCCCACTCCCATGTTTGGAGTGAGAGGAAAAATGCCCAGAACAATTGATATTACTTACTTACATGTTTGGTAAAGTTAGTTGAAATAATACAACAAGAACGTGATCAAGACGGATAAGTACAGGCGCACTTGCAGCAGGGACATCAGCAGAAATTGCACCTCCATACATTTACAAACAGCTGTCTCCTCCATACTTTTCTACAAAGTTTCTGATTCAGTAGCAAAAGATCAAACTGTTTAAACACAAGAAATGCAATAATTATGAACACCTACAGAATACATTGGCCTGTCGGGAGCGGAATGACCAACGTCTATAAATGTCTTGAATCATCACTGTCCTTCAAACCTCCTGCCTCAGCAACGAACGATCACCGTGGGGGAAAAAGTGAGAAACATCGGACGCAAAGGCTTTCTATCTACTGTTTTATATTATAGGAATATTCATCTTATCTTGGTAGAATAAGGTTATTTGGTTCTTCTATACCAGACAATTGCAAAGTAATAACATGGCCATCTTACTATTTTCGGGTATAGAAAAACCAAATAACCTTTTAGATCTACTGGCCTTGATCCTTGTAGTTAGTAATATTACTAACATTGTGGCACAGTCTCACTAATGCCCATCATCAGCAATAATACTTGGCATGTTGGACTTTGTTATATAGCGAGAATAATAGTGCTTGTCATTGTCCTTTATGGACTTTGGCTCTAGTGACTTGTGATCTGTTGGCCTCTGTCCCTGCCTCGTACTGGCCTCGCCCCACCGCTCTTGGAGGTTGCTGCTTGAGTTTTTAAGTAGGAGTTCCCAACAAAATGCGCCACTTTTCTCCTTTTGACGAACCACAAAAGGCCTGTTGTGTTCCCTAGCTTTCTGTGAACCTAAAAACTTCTAAGGATGCAGAGCTGGGCCCACACAAATTAAATTCTCGTTAGGCTCAACAGTGTGTCGGAGCCAGAGTCCTGCTCTCACTTTTGGCCCTTTGCTTGGCCTGCCCGATGGCAGCTCTTTGGGTTTAATTGCATAATGATTCTTTCAGATTCTCCTCTTCCTTCCTCCTCACTCTGGTCTGCTGACACACAGAACAATCAGCAGGAAAAGGTGCTCAGTGAACTTTTCGTTTGGTATTGGGCCAATGTTGGGAAAGGGAAATCTAGGCATTTTTACATTTTATTTTTGAACATTTACCAATCACAATATTATACCAAATTGATACTGAGTTGTGCATACTATATTATATCAATTATTGTATTTTCGTCTCACTTTATGGCGTAGTTTTGTACACTGAAAATAGGGGTTGACAGATTATTATTGCCTGCACCTATAAGCTTCTGCAAATGCCACCAATCATAATGCTAGCCTAACCTTTTGCTCATGTACAGAAATCAATGAAGATTTGTCTATATTAGCAGTTGGACAACGCACCACCTTAGCTAAGGCTGTGCCAAAAATATGGAGAATAGAAAAAGTACAAACTCAAATATACTCAAATCGGATCATTGACATACGAATAAAGAGACTCCAAAAAGAAAAATGATCTATGGGTTCATGTATTGTTTTGTATATATTTTTTTTTTATTTAACCAGGAAAGTCCCGTTGAGATTAAGAACCTCTTTTTCAAGGGAGTCCTGGACAAAAGTTACATACAGTCACATACAAATTCATAATATTACGGATTATAAAAAGTTGAGTTTCAATGAGGACGTCTCGAGTGCTCTCAATCTGGGTCTAAAAGCGTTCAAAGAAATAAGTTCAGATATATTCAGAAGTGAACTTGTCTTTTACTCTTTGTCCTCTATATTTTCTGATACTTTTAGCTGGTTTTATTCCTGTACCTTTTTTAGCTTGTTTTATTTATGTACTTGTCTGGTGCACTCTGGGGACTTTTGCACATGTATTCCAAATGACAAATAAAATGAATCTAAATATTTGTTAAATATTTATATTCATCCTGTATCTGTATCTGTACACAGTCACCTAGTACAATAACATGGGGATTAAGTTCAATATTTACAGTTTGGCAGAAAATGATGACAATTTGAATAGATTTTTTGTATCACTCTGACTGCTGGCGTCTTTTGACCGCAGCAACACATAATTGTAGTTCCTTGTTAATTTCGTACACATAATGCCTTTTCCCTTCCTTAAAACCCATGTGAGGTTCGCACACTGCTCTTCTTACTCATTAACCTGCAGTTGGAAACCTTGAAGGTGTGGACTCGGCTCTGACCTCTGATTGGTTTAAGTGACTCTCTGGAGAACTTTGCCTCTTTTTTCATTTTACTGCATTGTTTTTTTATCTCCCTCCAGACTTTTTTCCATTGATAAAAGACTTGCAATCCTTGGATCAATTTGCCTTGGCCTACTTTAGCCGTGGTATGCAGCTCGCGAAGCATGCTTTGGAATAGAATGTCGTCTAAAGAAAATATTAAACTTTATCGAGTGAGAAGACGTGTGGATAATGACGCATCTGTATCCTGGACGTTGTCTTAAAAATGAGGTCAAGTTATTGTTTATAGGCAAGACACGGCTCTAGTCAGTGGGAATCCAACACCAGAAACCTGCATAATTAAGTTTAAAGCCAACAGCCGATTACATAAAGTTTAGATACAACAAAATATCTTGTCAATCTACAATTACAAGCCTTCTTCAGCTTTGTACAGTTTTGTTTCAATGCAAAGAATGACGCAACTCAATTTGTTTTGAAGAATCTACCGGAAAATATCAAACCTCAAGTTGTAATCATTTTTTTCTTTTTTCTTGAATACTTTAATAATGAGAATAAATGTAAAACTAATATTTAACTTTCCACTAAGAAAAAAACACTTCATTTGGCCCCTGACTGAAAAATTAGCTTTACACTCCTACTTTAGACCACGTTATTGTCTTGCCCTTGTCATTTACAGAATGTTGTTTTTAGAAAGAAGACTGTATGTTTAATTTATATTCCACCTGAAGCTGAGACAGTCTCTCCTCACTCTTTCACTGTTTATTTAATTTCTGCTATGGAAGCCAGTTTCCGCCATGTAAAAAAACAAAAAAAAGCCTATAGAAAGTCAAAATTACGAGTTTTCAACTGCGCATGTGCAGTTGAAAACTCGTATGTGTTGTTGTCTGGAACGGTCTCTGCTCATCCCTGTTATAGATCCATGGGTCATCCTCTACCTGCAGATTATGTGAAGATATTTCCTACAGACAGAGATCACTGCATCCATGAAGTAGCAGCAATAATGTTGGGGCAGAATCCGCTTCAGAAGCCTCTATTTAGTTTATCCTAAACGGACTGTGGAAGATTAATAATAAAACACATGTGGCTGGTCAAAGTCATTGAGCCTCAACTGGTGACGTCTGGTCAGTATCACGGCTATCGATGGATGCAACAGAAATGCAGTGAATGATATTGTGACTGACAGAGACTGTTCGCGATTACAGGACAGTGAGGGAGGTCCACAGACAGAGGCAGGAGAACCACAGTCACGGGCACTGACAATATTAAACCTTTTGCACACACGCAGTTTGTGCAAAGCTTTTTTTTAATTATTATTATTTTTTTTACATGGCAGAAACGGGCTTCCATAGTCTGCAAACGTCAAGTCTTGTTTGTGAGTTATTTCAGTTTGAGGCAGAACTCGGTCTGTTCACTGATTCAGATATTTTGTTATTGTTGAATTATTACTTATTCCAGTTTGAGTTCATGTTTTTGAGTTCTTTGAATGATGTGGTTGTTTTCCTGAGAAGATTATCTTTAGCATGGGAGAATATGAGACTGATGAGATAAAGTTAAGGCGATAGGGGTGTGTTTAAAAATAGATTTTTCGATGTATGACGTTATTTAAAAATGGGATATAATATTGTTCTATCACTTTTTGATATATATTTTTTGGCCAGATTTACCAAAAATATACATACATTATGTATTAGACTTATTTGGTTTATTTTTTTTTTTTTTTTTAATCATGTTTTTGACTATAATGGCAATGAATTTCTCCGGTATCTAGATTGGCAGCCTGTGAAATATACCCTACCCTAGTTAAGGTCCAAAGCCGATCGCACAGCACGGTGGGGCTGAATAAAATCAATGAATTTAAATCAATATTGATATTCTTTTAATCTTGATATTTTGACCTAAGCTAATGTGGCCCGCCTGTCATAGATGATCAGCAGGAAAACTCATTCTCAAACCTAAGAGTGGGTTATCAAACTCCTGACCCTCGCAGCTCGGGCTACATAATCAGAACCAAAAATATCCTCTCTTTACATGTAACTCTGGGCGATCTCGTTCATCTGGGATCAATTAAGCAAACGTGTCCTCGGAGTCTGAGTAAACTTAATGACAGGCTGAGACTGTTGTGTCTTTGTTGCACATGGGTCTGTTTGTTTACATGCTCCGAGGGGCACATATCAGCGGGGCTATTTCTGACCCTTATTTTGGGTTTCTCCACTTTTGCCTCTTGGCGTTTTTCAAGGGCCTTAATTAAAATGTAGCTTTGGAGATCACAAGCGTGGCTGGGAATGCCTCACAAAACTGCATCTCGGATCAGGCCGGCGGTAACTTTTGAGGTCTGGTAAAATGTGTGATGTCCGTTCCCCCGCTACGCAGTACTAGATTTTATACTTCTTTATTATGCTAAAGTATGAGTTTTTTTGTTTTCTAGTAAGCTAAAGATAAATATTTTGTACTTTGTTTCTGCAATTGTTGTTGGTGCAATTGTTTTTGCATTTGCCAGAATATTTTGCGGTTCCTGCCCGGCTGTGATGGGTTGAGAAGCCTATGCCTACATCCCCCAGAATGCTGCGCGCTTCTGACTCTGCTTTACGTCCTGTGTTTTCTTCCTGTTTTTTCTTACGGAGTGAAGTTAAACTATCGGCCCCGTTTTCTATTGATATCGAACACGTATCTATCGCGATATATATCCTCATCGTTATATCGCCCAGCCCTACTAGAGTTAGATATTTTTATTTAGTACAGAGTTATTGTTCATTTATCTTGTGTTGTGTGCTTCTCATTCCTACTGTTCTGTAACTGGTGATGCAACACTGAAATTTCCCCACTGTGGGACGAATAAATCATCTTTAAATCTTAATTTGAGGGTAATCTTACATGCCACAGAACATTCAGTCCTTGTTAAATTGCACATGTTGAAAATGTCTGCATTTTAAAAATTGTAAAATTCAAATATTCTTCAACATGTGGAGTGACTTCAAGCAATATGTAAGATTTTCATGTCAAGTCATCATTAAAGGGCCCTAATCTGGCAAATGGTTTTTATAAAACATGCTCTTGTTTAATACTTCTTTAACTGATAACAGTAGTTTAGAGATATTTAAGAGATCATTAGTTTTATAGCCCCAAAATCTTATTGTTTTCATTTCGATGTCCTACCCGCCACCATTTTACCAATCAGAAAGTCCTTGATCCGGGTTGCCAGAACTCACCGTGTCAAGCTAATCTCACTGGTAAAGAAACATGTGGCCTCAGAACTAAAAAGGTCTCGTTTTCATTCTCAAATCCTTGATAACAAAACAAGGAATTTTGAAGATTTCTATCGGGGCCTTTGTGAAAAAGTCGTTGGTTACAGATTTGTTGACAAAACTCTTGTCTATTCAGATATTATGGTCCCAGCTGGATCCGTCTGCATATCTGATTTTTCGCACACTGCTCCTTTAAACATCTCTATTGTTTTTGTGATGACGAATCAGGTCCATGCAGAAGAAAATGCGTTTAATAACAAGGGTTGGGCAATATTGGTATGTATTGTGTAGTTGTTGTGCTCGTCATTGGAATAGCGGGTGAAATAATATTGCCTTGCCCTTTTTAGAAAAACAGGTTTATTTATATAGCACAGTTCATACAGAAGACAACTCCAAGTGCTTAACAAAACAAGACATTCATACAAGCCATTCTCATCAATAATCACAGAACATTGTAAGTAGTGGAGATACAATCCTTCTGTTGTTTGCGCAGCTGAATGGAACTTTTTTGAAACCTGTATTTTAACATTTGACAGTAGAGGCCTGTCTCACATTTTCAGAAAGACTGTTCCAGATTATAGCTCAATGAGTTTTTATGGACCTTTTTATGTGTCTGAATTACAGATTTATTGATAAGATTTTATTTCATTTACAATCTTGGCGCTTTCTCATGGGGCCAAACTGTAATTTTACAATGAATAAAAAAAATAAAAAATAAATCTCAATATTGGCAAGAGAAATATTGATATCACAAAGGTTGTGTAATATCATGTGTGTGTGTTTTTTATTTTTTTTGTTGCTCAGAGTCTCTCGGAGTATACAGTGGCTGCTGGACTTAACACTTTTTTTTTTCTTAAAACGTGTCTCAAAATAATCCTCCCTCTTCTGTTTTCTACGGGCTGTGTTTCTGGTTCTATTTCGGCTCCGTCTGTGGGACTGTACTGAGGAGGAGGAGGAGGAGGATGATGCCTGTTGTTCTGTGTGTTATCTAAACACTAGGTTGGAGCGCACACATAGGGGCCTTCTGTGAAATGTAAGCCTGCATGGAGACTATTGGGTCTGATGAGTTATGAAGAACTTATCAGGTTGTAATGAGAAAAAAATGATTCTAATCTAGTGGTTCTTGGAGACACCGAACCTCACCAGCTTCATATGAGCATTCACACAACCCCTAGAGTGAAAAATAAAATAGGTGTTTTCTTTAAGACATCGTGTTTTACTGGTGCAGAAAATGAGCCGTGCATAAAAAATAACTTCTTTCCTATAACAAAACCAACACAATGCCGTGTGGAGCGGATCCCTCTCTCAATGTGGATCTCCCCGAGGTTTCTCACTTTTCTCCCACTGGGTTTTAGAGTTTTTGGTTGCCGATGACATGCAGGAGGGTCTGTTGGACAGTTAAGTATCTAAAGAGTAAGACTGTGGTGATGATCCAGGACACTTTAACATTCTACAACATGTATGGACATTTATCAACATTCGTGGACATTGGACTCCTTATGGACCAATACATATGTTTGTTCTGTGTCTTAACTGTTGATTCTTGTTATTGCTGTAATTTCAGTCAATCCTGACAAAATCACAAACACAATTAATACTGATATATACTGTTAACTTGAGTTACGTTCCAATATCAATTCTCTGATCTGTGTTGGTGATTTCAACGGTTTAAGTCCTCTGAGATGACTGCTGTTGTGATTTAGGGCTTTACAAGAATACATTGAAGTGAATGAATGCATGAACTCAGTGTGACTTCTGTTGTTGCCTTTGAGAGACCAGTTCACGTCTGTGTGGCTTCACCTTGTGCCATTCTCATGTCATTTTCACAGCAAATTCTGTTTCTTTTCTTCGTTCTTATGTTCAGAGACTATGTTCAAAGGATTGCTCACAAAGATATGTTATACCAAATGGTATTAAAAAAATCCGGGGCTTTCTCAGCGATAACTGGACACATGAAGGCGCTCTGAGGCCGAGACTGTTTCAAGTGCATTGAGCCAATGAACCGCTTCGACACACCGACACAGTTGATACAAAGCAAAGCAGTGAGACAGACTCAAAAACACTGACACGTTTGTTACGGCTGTTTTGAGGACAGTAACAAAGGTTCGTCACTTCAAAAAATGTATGTGAGGTAGTAATTGCTTGATTCAAGTTTTTTGTTTTTGTTTGGAGAGAATATTTATTTCTTCTGACTGTCTTCAAACAAGCTTTGCCAATGGGACAAAGCTAATATATATTTATTGGTTAACATTAAAGACATTTTGACCCTTAAACCTGTCTTTAAATAAGCCATAGCAGTGTCACGTTAAATATCATTGAAAAAATGAATTCAGTTCTGTTTATATTTGCTATTTTTGTATTTATAACATCAAGTAATAGCAATATGCAGCCATTTTTGCCGTGAACATGAAGTCGAAGTTATTGCAAAAAAATAAGTCCATATATTAATGCAGAAGGTCACAGGAGGATGAGGGAGGGTCATTGGCTGAAACCTATGAATATTATGAGACATTACTTATTTTAATTGAAGCTATTAGTGTGTGTGTGTGTGTGTGTGGTTTTTACAGTACTGCTTTAGTCTGATCACATTAAAGAGTAAAGATGCTCCATTAGTTCAGTGCCAGAGTCAAACGCAATCAGCAAATTCCAAACTAATTCTAATTAAACTCTTAATGGACGGCGAGACTGCAATTTCAGGTCATTACTGTAACACATTTATGATGCTATTTCAGACTCTAGAATGTTTACCGCACAATCTCTCACACTACAACACATTTAAGGACTGAACTTAAGACTGAGAACTGAACTTAACACTAGAAGTCCCATAACTTTAACTTTTTTTGTTTCTTTCTGTGTCATATCATTGTTTTTCTGATATTCGTTTTACAGTATGTATGAAATGTGAATCCGGTCTACTTCTGGACTGGTTCTGCTTGATTTTCCACCAGGAAAAATTAAGTGCTAGTTACCATAGCAACACAATGTTCATTATCAGCTGTTAGCATTCACTCTTTAGCAATAGCCCGTCAAAAAACAGTTTTTGCTGTTTTTCAAGTTACTGTATATTCAGCAGTTTTGGCACGTATTAAAAAAACCTTTTATAGAATGACTTTTAATAAAATTGAACAGTTTTTGGGGAAATTTCTCAGAATTGGTTTGATTGGGAGCAGTCAAAATGACGGCTCTGGGAGTTTTATTTGTTTCATAAATGCTAGTGTTGATGTTTTATTAGTTTTTCTTGGACATTTGGTTCTGTCATATCCAGAGGGAAGCTGAAGTTGCTGTCTGAGCAGTGTCGGACTTCCTGTCTTTAGTTCTGCTTCTGCTGAACTGAACTCTTTATTGTTGTCAAATATTGAGCTGAACTGTTTGTTTGTTAAGCAATTGAATGGGTTTTGTTAATTCCCAGTAAAGTGACTCTTAGTACTTCAAAAATGTTTTGAATGTTGTTAAGAATCATTCTCACTTTTGACTAGCAAACTCAAAACAAACCTACTATACTGAGAGTTAAAAATAACATAGAAAATATATTTTGGAGATGACTAAGGAATATTAAGGATATTGTTTCTTATTATTATTGCAACATTTCTAAAACATGTCCCCACATTAGGGGGAATAATTTTTAACACTTTTGACATTTTGCCCCAGAAAATGTTGCTAATATTTAAGCAGTTATAGTTTTAGTCGTATCAGGTGCAGTTGAGCATCTACTGCTCGAACATTTACATCAACAGGAAGTTCATCACTAGTGACATCAATATTTATGTTTGTAGTAAAACACATAAGAAAGAATTGGAATAATAACACATTCTACATCCATTAAAATTCCATAAGACAACAATGTTGAACTCATTTTGGTTGGTGGCAAAATTCTTAAAGTAATATCTGACCTGGGCCTGACACTATAAACATGGTTTTCTTAGCTAATAGTTATTTATACATATCTTTTACTTTCAACATCTATTGTCAAAATTATCAGTTAAAGGTATATGTGAATTCCTGGATTTTTTTTCACATTCTGTCTCTCACAGTTGAAGTGTACCTATGATGAAAATTACAGACCTCTGTCATTATTTCAAGTGGGAGAACTTGCACAATCGGTGGCTGACTAAATACTTTTTTGCCCCACTGTGTATATATCGGTGCATCCTTAAAAAAATACCTATTTTTGTGCACTTTTCAAAAAGCCAATATTTGCATAGCTTACATTTGCATGTTTTTTTGTTTAGGTCCATGGCCATGTTTGTGAACAAAGGGATGGAAAATATATATATATTTTTTAAATCTGATTTAATCAAAGAAATAATCGACAGATTAATTGATAATAATAATAATCGTTAGTTGCAGCCCTAGTGCTGTGTTCTCACTGCTCTGGTTTCTCTCAGTGATGATTGTGTGTATGTCAGTTTCTCTCAGTGATGATTGTGTGTATGTCAGTGTCTCTCAGTGATGATTGTGTGTATGTCAGTTTCTCTCAGTGATGATTGTGTGTATGTCAGTTTCTCTCAGTGATGATTGTGTGTATGTCAGTGTCTCTCAGTGATGATTGTGTGTATGTCAGTGTCTCTCAGTGATGATTGTGTGTATGTCAGTTTCTCTCATTGACGTCTTCTGTGTTTCAGATGTACGGGCGCTACACCCAGGAGCTGGGGGTGTACGCCAAAGAGGAGGCGGCTCGTATCCGGGACGGCGGTCAGCGGCGCTCTGTGAGCGAGCGCAGCCTCAGTCTGCTGGAGTACGACAAGAGCCGCTGTGCCAAGTGCCGCAGTAAGTTCACTGTACCACTGACACACACACTGGCACACACACTGACACACACACGTGCCACCAGCACCGTGCAGTCGGGGTCCACACTTCCTCACGCTCTTTTTTGAGACGGTTTGATATAAAGAGAAACTAAATGTTTTTAAACGCCTCGCTGTGGATCATAAGCGGAATGTGGATGCTTATGATCGAATCACAGTGGGGTATGGTTTCTACGCTACATGGATGTAAAACTGTGAGATTCAAGTCAACCAGGTGCTCTTTTGAAGATTGTATTTTCAAAAAGGAAATCACCCTCAAATGTCTTTTTGAATAACAAGCAGATAAAAACTCCAAGTCACTCCAACAGTTTAAGTTAAAACATGGCTTTTACAATAGTTTAAAAACTGAATTCTATTTGCAATCAGATTACATTTTCTCAAACTGAGTGAAGCAGGTCAGGAGAGAGCTCAGGCTCTGCAGGGACTGAGAGGAGCAGCAGGTGGCACATTTAAACACAAATCATAATTCTTTTGTTTTTTGATTGAGAAATCAATCAAGTCCCCCTCTCACTTTACACTTTGATTCGGTTTCTAGGTCTAGTTTATCTATTTTGCAGGTTGTTATTGTGTTATTGTGAAGAACTGAAAAATGGTGTTATAGGGGCCTAACTTGATTCTATATTGCACACTATTTCAGTGCTTATTTTTCAGATTTAAAAAACTGACTCTTACATTAGAAAACACATGCACCTTGATTTGAAAGAGGATGCAACATGCCAAACGACAGTCGGAGATGTCAAGTTCAACCTTCTTATCACAAATATTCTCTCATACATCTACAAATAACTTTATATGAAAAGTGCCAAGTGTTGTGTGTGTTTATAGAACGCCCTCTATCGGTCACACAGACACATTGCAGCCTTCACCACATTTTTACTTCACCCCAGTCACTGCAGCAGGTGCGGGGCCAGTTTTCACCAGTGAGTCATCCCCCACGTCTCCTCATCCTCATCTTCATCGTCACTGCCTCTGTACCATCACTTATTTATTGCTCCTCTGTCTGAGAAAGGACTAGTAATATAACAAGTAAGTTTTCAAATTTGAACAACTTTCTAAATAAGCATGTATGATTTGGCAGAATGATACTGCAGCAAATTTACTTTCAGCTGATTGACTGAGTGAAGGCTGGTACCCCCTTTGTCACGTCTTTAGATCAGCTTGTTCAGTGAAAGACAAAAATACAAAAACTAGTAATAAAACCAAACGGCTTTGGGAGTGAGGAATGAGTTACATGGATTTCACTACAGTAATTGTTTTGTGGTTTCAAAGTTTTTTGTACAAGACACAACAAAGACACATTTATCATGAATCAACTTTTTATTTTGTATTTTTTTATGGTTAGCATTAGGTGGGAACCTAAGGGTACCTCACGATACGATACACGATACAAAGCTCACGATAACGATAATATCACGGTAACGATATTACGATAACGATTTTATCACGATACGACGATTATTGATATATTGGTCAAAAATATACAATATGCCAATTTATGGCATAAATAAAAGAAAAAATAATCTTTTATTTCATGGTTAATAGAATGGAGATGCGTAATGTAGCCATATATTAAGTATTGATACCAATTTTTTAAAAAAAATAATCGATATCGATACTTGGCAAATGCATATCGATAATCGAATCGCGGGAGAAAGTATCGCGATATATCGAAAAATCGATACATCGTCACACCCCTAGTTTGCATTCAATCCACTTGATGCCAGGTTATACTGTAACTACAAAGGTAATTTTAATCTGCAGTCCATAGGCAGGTGCATAAACACATAAGGGTTAGAGAAGGTAAGAGAAACTTTACTCGTCCTACAGTGGGGAAGCAAGGATAGAGCAACAGATATTATATTATAATCTGTACACATTATTTTATGTACAGATTAGTACAAGAAAAGCTGAAGAGACATAGCCTGGTCGTACCACACCATAGTACAAATTACATTACGTACTAAGGTCTGGAAGTGCTCCGTTTACAGAAGGGAGGGGTTAACTCTTTTTGCAGATTGAAACGATTGGATTGGAGTTTACTGTGACGAAATGTAATGCGCCTGAGTGAGTCGTTAGCGTTTAGCCTAAAAAAATAGCATTTAGCCATCTCCTTTACCGCTAACGGAGCCCGTGGGGAGTAGCGCCACAATTTTTGCCAGGGATTACATTTTCTAAACATTCTTCTTGCTCCGGCTTCAATTTCTTGATAGAACCAGACTGGAATACTTTACTATTGCATTCTTCGCCATTGCCAAACTACAACCTGCCCGTTCGGCGCAAACTCTTGACGTCACCCACATCTAACTACAACACCCGCCTCCCGCGCTCGCTGATCGGTTGGATGGAATTCAACCGATTTGTAATCGCAAACACAGGGACCAGACCCAGACGTTACATGCAGGAAATGAAGATTGAGAGGAGTGTATGGATGGCTAAGGCCAGGCTAGAAGAGACTGGGTTCACCATAAAATGTACGTATACGTCAGTCACTCTGAAGAAAACGTCACTTTACCTATTATTATTTTCACTCACATCAGCATCATGTAACACACTGGAGCTCAGAAACACCCTCTCCTCAAACTCATATCTAGCTTCTGAAGCCGTGACTTTTACGTACGGTTGGTCTTCACATTCCCCATCGATCATGGTCTCTGCGCTGAACCACCTCTGACCCGGCTGCTGCTGTGAAAGCCTTTTACTGTCGCACTTTATCCATATTAGTTCAAAAACCGCTTCTCACAAAGTCTTCATTATCCCCGAAAGAGCAACTGTTTTATCCTTGCGTCCTAATGGCTTCAGAGCAGCACCTCGTCTCCATCTTTCAGCTGATACAGTACTCACAACTTCATTTGTTTAACATAATCTGAAGGAAGTCAAACGCTTGTGTCAGAATTTATGGTAATCTGAGTTTGGTGCATGATTTAGCAAAGTCTGACAAGCACTTTGTCAAGGACTTTTACATTGGCACTTGTATTCCCCTAAACTTTTTATTGAACCTGGTTATTTCAGAAGTGCATTTACATATGTCAGGTTAGTTATGTTTTTATTAGGGCCAGGACATGATTAAAACAAATGAGAGGCTTTGTGATTATCTTTCATTCATTCATATTCTACCCCTTTATTGTCCATTTCTGGGTCAGGGGGGGGGCAATGAGAGCTGCCATCCAATGCTCATAGCACCAGTCCCTCGCTGATCCTCTGCAGGGGGTAAGTCCACAGGAAGATGGCTGCTACATCAGTGGTGCCACAGCCTTGGTGTTTCACCGGGAGCTTCAGGCAATGTGGGGTTAAGTGTCTTGCCCAAGGACACAACGGCAGCAGACATTAGTGGGAGCAGTTAGAGTAGGTCCCGAGGTGGGATCAAACCCACGACCTTCCAGTCCAAAGGCCAATGCTCTACCAACTGAGCTACTGTCGCCCCTGCTCTGCGAACAATCAAAATGAATCACATTTTAATCTGTTTTCTCAGGTCAAATATTTTATCTGCAAAGTATTTGTTCACATGGATGTTTAGTATACCACTGGATAATGACTGAATACAGATGCTTCACTCATTGACTGCCAGCCGTTTTTGATGATTTCACTGATTCTCAAGACCTACAGAATATTATTTCCTAAGACTTTGTAAAATATAAATCCAGATTCTGAAAAACTGGATTGTCTACTTTGATCAGCAAAAATAAATTTGTTTTATAGCTATTTTTATTGTCCTGTAATCCACAGTTGAATAGAGGGTCTCAGACAAATACGTCAATAGCAGTCAAGGATTAATGCAACAAAATATTGTTTATTTTGGTTCCGCCAACTCCAACAGAAAAGAGCAACTTTTGTCATAAAGTGCATCAATAGCATATTTAGAAATACATTTTGCAGACCCCTACAGTCGAGTGCTATAAAGTGAGCCAGGCCATTGGTTATGGTTTCAGACGTGGACTGGGTTTTCCTGGTCCTTTTAAACGGTGGAGTATTCAATAATACAACGGTCTCATCTTGAATGTTTATCATCTTTGCTCACACACCTGCTGACGGAGCGTACGCTGTGTTCATTAATTCTGTTCAGTAAAGCCTCATAACCACACACAGTTCCCACATATTATTTTAACATGGCATAAAGCAGTCACCTGGTGGATTGTGGGTCCAAGCCCTTGGTAATCAAAGCCTGTCTATTCAAAATGCATACATGCCTGTGAGAACTAGTGACAGAACCAGTTGTATAAAAACCATGAGCTTGTCCTTGTCTCACATTGATTGGGTATTTGAATTTGAAAGCACAACAATCTTTTTCAAGCTTGACGGTTTTCCAAAATGGTTATGGCGACACCTTTTTATGATGTAATTCTTTTTAGGCCTAGCGCTGTGAAGATACAATCCACACATGTTAAAAGAAACTTTCAAAGTGAAGAATTTAGTTTAGACTCCCGTTCCTGAATATCTTTCCTTCACCAGAAAATGTATATAACCAGTGCATCTTGGGAAAAACTATTAGAATTATGTACCATGGCTATTTGAAAATGATGTATCATCAATAAATGGGGGGAAAAACAAATTATTATTATTATTTTGTTATTTACTTATTCAGCACCATGTAAAGACCTAACATCTGGAAATAAAAAAGATTTGTTACGATTTATAAAGTATTAAAGCGTCTCTTTCCCATAGTCTGCGTGTGTAGACAGCCTGCTCTACCTACAGCCGACCACCTGAGGGCACCATTGAGCTGTGTAGCGTTGTCAGAGAAATGTCTCAATCTTTCCAGAGTGGCTCCACAAACACAGTCCTCAGCCTCTTACACAAACACAACGCTGTCAGAATACTATGACATTTAACATCACTTAAAACGCTCGCCAGGTTAATATCATTTTTACCTCGTGACAAACCTGATTCGATTCCCGTCCCTTCCTCGGCTGCCGGACAATCCGATTTGCTGATATTGTTTGTTCTTTTTAAAAGGTTGATGGCTTA